TATTAATAATAATAATAATGATGATAATAATTATGATAATAATAAAGATAATAATATTAATAATAATAATACTATTAAAAATGCGTAAAAAAAACAAAAATATGTTCTTTATGTTGGCAGACCTTTGGCATGCAAAAGTTTGGAAGTCCCTCTTCCCCCCGATCACATTAGGTTTTGTTGATTTTCTAAATGCCAAGAATTCGGCACGATTTGTGCAGGGAGCAAACATGTTTCTGCTAATTTTAAAGGGAAATTGCACCTTTTAGAAAACCAAAGATAATAATCCATTGCCACTTCTTCATAAAATTAAAAATGTACCTTTGTTATTTTTTTTATCGCATTGGAGCCAGTTAGGAATTGCAGCCGCCATCAGTGGTTGGCGGGTGCAATGCTCTGGCTCCTGCAGACTCTTTCTCCCATCCATGTCTGTACCAAATTATGGACATTCAGTAACAAGAGCGGGAGGATGAATGAATGGACTACAAGTGGGGTGTCCTATTGAGAACTACAAGTCCCTCTGCTGTGGTGGCTGATGGGACTTGTCGCTTCTCCATTCACAGATCCCATCAAAGGATCATTGAATGGATGACATGGCCGTGTGGGCGGAGCAATCTAGAAATATTCTGCCCCCCTTCTTCTTTTATTGATATTTTATTGATATTGTATTGATATTTTATCGATATTGTATTGATATTTTATCTTCCCCTTCTGACTAATTTCTGTGTCCCATATTAATATTTGAATGATGGTAGATTATACTGATATTGTGTTGATATTGATACACTGGTATTGCTCTAATCCCTCTATGGCAGCACATGCTCAGTACGGGGATGAGCAATGTACACATCTCTTCTATGCTCTGATTTCCGGCTTTTCTTTAGATATGTTTTTCAATATTTGAGACCTCTAAGGCCCCATTCACACTAAGCGACTCTTACCTCGAGCGGATCCACGCAGCCGGGAAAGCTTCACCGTCGGGCTGCATGCAAAAATAGAAAAATCGCGCGACATCCGCGGGAAAAGGGGTCCCGCACACGCGACAGCGACATGGAGCTGTTCAATAGAACAGCTCCATTGAAAATAGTTGGACGGCGACTTCTAGCGATATCGCGCGGCAAATATGTGCGATATCGCGGCGGAAATCGCGCGATTAAACACCCAGTTTGAATGGGCACTTATATAAATGTTACCCCCCACGTGGTCCCTTTATTTACTTCATCCTGCTGTGAACTCCCGGTATATATGATATTTCAATAAAATATTGAATGAATAAATAAAATTCATGCAAATGGAATATAGAGCGGGCTAAAAAGTGGGGAACATCCCTAAAGCAAGAACAGATGTACCAACCGGCTACAGGAAGTGTTTGGCGTTTCCTCCAAAGGGGATGACTTTGTACTGACTGACAGTTGTACAAACATTTACACACGGCGCTTTTATGTTTTTTCAGACTGGAAAAGGAGTTTCCGCATCTAATTTGGAATAAAGGAGCTGGCCTGTTTTTAAAGATTCATGCTCCGAAGCTCTGATTCTTATTAAAGTGATAATAAAGGGCATCTCTGGTCAAAAACTGAAAATAAATCTGCATTTCTTTATTGGATTTCCATAATTTCTATCCCACTCCTAATAACCAGACCCATCTGGAAGTTGTAAATTGAAGATGCCCATAGAAAGGACTTCTTCAATGCACTGACACAATTTCACTCAGCCCTGTGAATTTGCACTCCCTTGTGTCACCATGCTCACAGAGCCTGACATAGGGTTATCACCTGTCCAGGATTCACCCGGACAGCTCCGGGTTTTGAATGCTGTGTCCGGGTTTCATGGCAGCTGAAACCCAGACACATGATGTCAGGCAGACAGGGGCAACCAAAATTAAGATAGGGGCTACTGGCCCCCCACTAAAAATAGTCTCAACTGTGATAGTTACATATGAATGGGCGGCGCTATTTACATATGAATAAGCCGCATTCTCCCCAAAAGATTTCCGTGTGTCGCTAGAGTGTTCAGGCTTCGCTGGAAGAAAAGGTGGCAACCCTAGCCTGACATACAGTATGAACTACAATTCAATGGCATTGCTGGCTGGAAGCAATGCATGATGGGATGTTTAGTGTTGAGAAATGGAGACAGCATCACATCAATTAGCAAGGAAGCACACTGGTAATCCAGGAAATAGCTGGAATTGATGGACAGATGGAAGGCAGTACTCACTACATAAAAGGGATTTTTTCATGATAGCTTTGAATGTATTATTAGAAACAACTCCAGTATGTATTCCTATTACAATGCTGATGTTATAACAGGAGAGATACGCTGGGACTTTACTACTCTGTTAAAGTCTAAAGGTTTTTAAGCTATTACCATCTTGTCTAGACTTGCTTTGTAATTGTAATGTCCTTCTTATATTGTAAAGCTCTGCACAAACATTTGACACTATATAAATCTTGTATAATAATCATAATAATACTGATGAAATCACTTACAATGGATGCTGCTCCTTGATGTTTAAAAAAATAGCTTTCTGCAGAATTAGGTGGTCTCCTGAGCACTGGACCTGATATCCTGTTTTAGGGTGACTCCTTTCCCTTTCAGGGTCCTATGGAACCACTCTTGTGTGTGCTAGTAAGGTGTGTATCTGCACAAACACAAAGGCATGGCAAGGCAAGTCACCTCCTTTTCCCCAATCATCCCCTCTCCCGCCTACTCATCTAGTAGATCGACAGCTGCTGGAGACTGATCTGTCCCATGTGATCTTGTACTGGACATGAAGTTGAGAGAGTTGGATGACTGTTTGTGTCTAGGTAAAAATATAAAAAAATTATTTGCTGGGCAATGTATATTTGTTTGATCCGGATTCATTATTAAAAAAAAAGTCTGAGGATTTAATAGAAAGAATAGGTTACCAGCACTCAGATTGATTTCAAATAGATAAGTCCTTTTTATTGTACATACGTGTCACAATAGTGAAACAGCCGACGTTTCGGGGCCACGCAGGGTCCCTTCCTCAGGGCAAAACATCACATCTTTTGCCCTGAGGAAGGGACCCTGCGTGGCCCCGAAACGTCGGCTGTTTGACTATTGTGACACGTATGTCCAATAAAAAGGACTTATCTATTTGAAATCAATCTGAGTGCTAGTAACCTATTCTTTCTACTTTGTGCATTACACTGTGCCATCCGTGGGAGTTACTGCAAGCACCTTATCTCTACTGGCCGGGACTGCTGAAAGGTGTGCGGAGAGCACCCTCACCAATTACAACTTGAGGATTTAATAGTACTTCTAAGTAATCCACAAACCAGAAAAAAGCATACGTATATTAGGTGTCCCGTAACCTTCTATGCACATCCTTGTTTCACCTCAGTGACAGGCCAAGTGTAGGAAGGAGGTAAATGTGAGCATGCACCTTCCCAAACAAGTCAGCTTCTATATTACTATCGCTTTCTGTTTTCGGAGGAGTTGGCATGTATTGGAGTGATGTACTAAACATGTTTTTTTTTTTAATGTTGCCCAGACATTCAGCTGAAATATCCCAGTATGCTTTGCAAACCGGTATTGATGTATTGACCTTGCGCTGTTATGACCTCATTTCCCCTGGTGTTTCTCACGGCAGGTGAAGCCCAGACGCAGTGCCCACAGGAAACCGGGCACCCAAGTGAGGACACCCGCTTTACCAATGGGCTGAACGTGGGAAGCGTTGCCAAATTCCTGTGTCCTGCAGCAATGTACGCCTGGCCTGTGAGCAGCCGCATTTGCCAAGCCAGCGGCCAGTGGAGCATAATGGAGTCCAAAACCAGATGGAAGTATACAAAGATCTACTGTAAAGGTGAGGCATGTGATGGGCATTTTTTTTGTATGAAGAGGATTTTTTTTTGAATGGTTACTGATATTTACTGGGAATTCTAATGAGATTATACTGGCCACATACTGGAGATGGTAGTAGGCCTTTATTGGGAATGTTAATGAGCATATACTTGGAATAGTATTGGACATATAGCTAGGAAGGTAGTTGGAATCATAATGTGACCCTGTCAACACAGGATCACTTGTATCCAAAAGCATGCCAGCTAAAAAAAGAGGGAATATACTTACAGGACATACGAGCCAGTAGGAGGAGACACTCCATGCGATGGTGGAAACAGGTATTTAGCCCAATAAACTGGTCGAGTACTTGCAGGGGAGCATTGTAAGGGCAGCATTTTAATACATGGGTCACTGAAATGGTAAGTATTATACCTCTTCTTTTAGAGGAATGCTTTTGGATACAAGTGACCCTGAGCTGACATGATGCCTTTAAAGAGAAACATTCATGATGGCAGAATTTTGATATTACTTCTTAAGTTCGTTTTAGTTGTGCTGGATTGAAAGTACACTATATGGCCAAAAGTTTGAGAATATCTGACCATCACACCTACCTATATGGTCAAATGGTCAGGTGTTTCCAGTGAAGGGTACCAATAATGCTATAACATGCAAAGACATTTTAGACAATTGTGCACTTCCAACCTTGTGGCAACAGTTTGGTGAAGGCCCTTTTCTGCCCCAGCATGACTGTGACCCTGTGTAAAAAGCCAGCTCCATAAAGACATGGTTTGATGAGTTCAGTGTGGAAGAATCTGAGTCCTGACCTCAACCCAACAGCTTCATAAATAAATTGGAACACTGATTGTGAGCCAGGTCTTCTTATCCAACATCAGTACCTGACCTCACAAATACTCTTTTGGCTGAATGGGCACAGATTCCCATAGACACACTGCAAAATCTTGGGAAGCCTTCCTGGATGAGTTGAGACTGTTAGAGACCATGGTTTTGGATGTTCAGCAAGCCCATATAGGTGTGATGGTCAGGTGACCACAAACTTTCAATCACATAGTATATATTTCCCCCCCTTATTTAGCTTTGCTTTCTTACTCACATGTGTTAAGTCACACATGTTGGTTTAAAGGAGAACTATGAGGCGAGTGATTTTCACTCACCTCATAGTTCTAGCCGACCTGTGACAATGAAACTGTCACAGGTCGGCTCAGTAGATCGGGAAGTGAGCGAACACATACCGGCGCTAGCTCACTTCTCGATCCTGTCACGGCAGAGAGCTGTGACAGGGGAGTGACTGGATTCCCCCCTCCCCTGTCCGATCCTCCAGCGCTGACTGGCGGAACTGTAGCTGTAGCTCGCGGTATACTGAGCTTTGGGTGACAGGAGGACGCTAGTTTGTGTCCTCCCGTTACCCTTAGGAGAACTATGGGGAAAAGCCCTGACCCCAAAGTTCTCCTTTAAGGCAAGCCCATTCATTTTGTCAACACTGTCAACACGCACACGTTGAACTGGTGAACCTTTATTCAACCTTAACAACTATGCAAGTATGTAATACACTACAACGCATGACAAAATGCACCCCCAAATTTTTTGGCAATGAAGCATACAACAATGCACAGAGTATTCACATGAGGTTACGACATGGACCCATTGACTCCAATGGAAGCGTTTGGCAAGTGGCACTGCCCACCAACCTCTGTAATGCTGTATAAAGTTTGCTGTGGCATGTGTGTGAAATCGAGCGGCTTGCCATGTTAAATTTTTAGATGGGCGGTCGGAGGGGGGGGAGTGGCTGTGGTTACTCTCTTTTCAACTGTGGTGAGCAGAAAAGCCACTCTACTCAAACCCTGTAGATGGATGATCTACAGCAGCAGAAGACCATGTTGGGTTCCTCTGCCTGGGTCAGCCAAGAATAGAAATATAAGGCTGAAGTGGACACATGATCACCAAAACTGGAAAATGTAACCTGGTCCGATGAATCCTGATTTCTACTGAGACACACAGATTGTTGGGTCAGAATTTGGCCTCAACATCATGAATTAATGGACCCAACCACCATTCTAGGCTTGGGGTGTTATGGTGTGGGTATTTTCTTGGCACACTTGGATCTGTTAATACCATTCAGTCATCGCTTAAATGCCACAGCCTATCCTAGTATTTTTGCTGACCATATGCATCCCTCTATGGCACAATTCAGTACACTCTACTGTTCCTAATAAAGTGCTTTGTAAATGTGTATCATTAGCTACTAGGAGATTAGGTTGTCTTAGACTGTCTTTACAACTGTATATTTTGTATATCTTCAGAAATGAGGTGTCCAAATCCTGACAGATTTGACAATGGAGAATACTTCCCCAGGGGCCCTTACAAGGTTGGGGACAACATCACCTTTGTCTGTAGTGATGGCTACATTCCTCGGGGCTCCATGGAAAGGACCTGTAAGAGTAATGCAAAGTGGAGTGGAGAAACCGCAGTGTGTGATGATGGGGGTGAGTACAGGTGGTAAACACTGACCAATGTGCTGAATATAAAAAAGTAGCATAGCCAGCAGCCTGGAGCAAAGGTAGTCAAATATAGAAGGATGGGCAGATGTCAGGCTGAGTACACACATTGGTAAACATTAGTATTTATTGATCTTACTCATACAAAGCTAACAAATTCTGCAGAACTTAATGGGAATCAGTCACATTAGTTCCTGTCCCCAATGCAGCATACAGTCTAAAGCCTTGGTTCTCAACTAGTGGGTCGCAACCCCGTGTTCAGTGGGTTGCCGCATGCCTTCCACTTTTCTAGGTGAGAGGCTCTGCTGCCTCCCCCTAGCGCAGCAATGTCAGTTCTTGTGCCAAGCAGCCATTCAAAATATGCTGCCCGGCGCTGAGTGTCAGCTTGAGGTGGGATGGGATGGCTATGGCCGCGAGGGAGCTCCATCCATACGTGCATTGCTTACAGCTCCCTCGCGTGTCCTATAGAGGTGCCTGAACCGGAGTGACATTACATTCTGGCTCTCGGCACCTCTACAGGGCACGCAAGAGAGCTGTACAAGCAATGCACATATGGATGGAGCTCTGTCACAGCACAGCAGCCCACACTGGACCCCAGGCTGAGGATCCACTCCAGTTCTCGTAAGGTAGGGGGACTGGGTGGACCTTAAACATTTTATTTTTTTGGGAGTGTTTGAGAATGTTTGTGAGTGTGTGAGATTGTGTCTGTTGTTGTGTATGTATGTCAGTGTTTTTGAGGGCCCGTTCACACTAGTACAGTGCGTTAATCGCATAGTACCGTGCGATAACGCACTGCAGCAAGCTATCACATCTACCGCGCATTCTGGTGTGCGAGGTGTGTTCCATTGCCATTCATTTATATTGTAAAGTGCTGCGCAAACGCCATATAAATTCTATATAATAATAATAATTTAAATGGTACCCCAAAGGGCAACCCCCACTCACAGTTCACACACCGGAACACACGGTACCCTAATGCCGTCTGTTCCATTGCAGTGCAGACATTGCACACTTGGGTCGCGACTTAATGACCAAGGACAAATGTGAGTCCTGAGGTTACACCGGTTACCGGTCACCGGAGAACCACTGCTCTAAAGTCCCTACCACAAATACACATAAGCAAATACTGGGTGTTTCCTGGGAGCCAATTAAACTTCTGCGTGTGTTTGGGTTGGGTGAGGAAATTAGCACACCCAAACCAACATTCAGACAATGTCACCGGTGAGAAAAGAAAACCAGGGCCCCAGTGTTGTAAGAGAGGAAAGATAACTCCCACTGTTCTGAGATTAATATAACTAGTACTGGGTTTGTTTGGAATAAAAGAGACCTTACTTTTGCCAGAATTGTCCCCCTAGTGACTCCTAGCATGTAGCAGGGGCTGCATACAAGAGAGGTAATGTCCTGAACCCGATAATCCTAAACTCATAGATAAATAGTCTTCTGTAAGTCTCAAATTGCTTTATTGCTAAAGTACAAATTGGAGTTCAGCAGCTCTCAAAATGGCAGGGGACCCTCCAAGTGTTGGGGTCACCCAGGTTGTGAAATCCACAATTTGTCAAACCCGAAAGGCCTGCTTCCCACCTGCGCTTTCCAGGAACATGAGTTCGTAAAATTTCATTTTTAGATCTGACTATAATAAAGAAAGATAATGTATACAGAATCTCTATACAATCCCTTTAGATGCCAGATTATAACAAAAAGAGAATCAATGGCAATATAAGAAAACCCCCTAGAGGCAATATTTAAATGGGCAATGTGATATTCTAACGCAGTACCAGAACCGGTCACTCACAACCCCTATAACGACACTTTGCATGCAGTAGCAAAACCGTACAATCACAACCCCTATACCAACACTTTGCATGCAGTAGCAAAACCGGCCAATCGCAACCCCTATACCAACACTGTGCATGCAGTAGCAAAACTGGCCAATCACAAGACCTATACCAACAGCAGAACCAGCCAATTACAACCCCTATAGCGAAACTATAAACGCAGTAGCAGTCCCAACCAATCACAACCCCTATACCGACACTTTGCACATGCATACTCTTATGTTTCAGTCATTGATCATGGTTCGAGTGCTGAACATAATCTGTGCAGTGGCGCTTGTGCTTACCTGCGTAGGGCAGGGTTACATAGTTACATAGTTAGTCATGTTGAAAAAAGACACAAGTCCATCGAGTTCAACCTATAGAGAAAAAAGAAAAAAAGAAAAGCCTAAACAGAACACTATGCCCACAATTACCCAATGTTGATCCAGAGGAAGGCAAAAAAACACTATAAAGCACGGTTCAATTTGCTCCAACAGGGGAAAAAAAATTCCTTCCTGATCCCATAAGGCAATCGGATATTCCCGGGATCAACAATCTCTGGTGCCTAATATACCTATAATAACTCAATATCCAGTAATATTCTGTGCATTTAGGAATACATCCAGATATTTTTTTAAACAATTTACCAAGCTAGCTAGAACTGGGGGAGTCTATTCCACATTTTCACATCTCTAACTGTGAAGAATCCTTTCCGTATGCAAAGGTTAAACCTCTTTTCCTCCAGACGCAAAGAGTGCCCCCTTGTCCTTTGCAATGACCTTAACGTGAATAATTTGGCACCAAGCTCTTTATATGGACCATTTATGTATTTGTACATGGTGATCATGTCCCCCCTTAGTCGCCTCTTCTCCAGAGAGAACAAATTCAGGTCAGCTAATCTTTCCTCATAGTTGAGCTCCTCCATGCCTCTTATGAGTTTAGTCGCCCTCTGCTGCACTTTCTCCAGTTCCACAACATCCTTTTTGTAAACTGGTGCCCCAAACTGAACTGCATATTCCAGATGAGGTCTTACTAATGCTTTGTACAGGGGCAGGATTATGTCTCTATCTCTGGAGTCCATACCTCTTTTAATACAAGATACCTCTTTTAATACAAAACTACAAGATAAGGGTGCAAGGATAAGTAGGGTAATATGACAATAGTATAAAATAAAATAATATTCTGTTTTGTACTCAACAGCTGGCCATTGTCCTGACCCCGGGGAGCCTCCTGGAGCCAGGAAAACTGGGCTTCGGTATGATGTTGATGAAAGAGTCTCATACACGTGTGCTCTTGGTCTTGACTTGGTGGGCTCAGCTAAACGGACATGTCTAGAGAGCAGGCGCTGGAGCGGAACTGAGGTCAGCTGTCAGTGTAAGTACCGGGCCCAAAAACTACCAACACCAATTCTTTACAAGAGATTTTTCTCACCCGTGCTATTTAATGTCCTTTGTAATCCCAACAGTAATGAAAAAATAAAAATGCAAATTTGCTGGACTAAACATTGGAGATGTAGGAATTGAAGAGCCACACCAAACAAAATAGTCCTGCTACAACTTTATTCCATTAGGGTCAGGGGGACATTGAAGTAGAGTAGCCAACATGTCCAAACACACCCCCTTCATAAGGCATTAGTGAGAGAATTCATGTATGTGGACTACAATCATTGCACCTTAAAAATGGTATTGTGTTGTGATGGGAGTAAAAGCCTGAAGTATTCCCATCACAACTCAATACAACCTTCAAGTCTACGTGCATGATTTCTCTTATTAGGGCCCTGATGAAGAAGGCGTCCTTTGGACCCTTAAAACGCGTTGGCTACTTTATTTGAATTTCCCATTGACCCTAATGTAATAAAGTTGTATCTGGACTATTTTAATCGGTGAGGTACGTCAATTCCCACTGCTACTGTGTTCACTATCAAGCCAAGGAGACTGTGGAGAATCTTTGGATTGTGGAAGCTGCCTACCCGTTAGCCAGATCACCCATATTCATATCACCTAACTACTGTTGGATAAGAAACACAGAGTTTAGGCCTAATCTGCAAATACCCCCATAGGTTACATTTACTAAAACTACTGCCAAAGAAATAAAACAATGGTGGAAAATTACCCACAGCTCACAATTCTTCTTTTGAAAGATTAAAAGATATGTGTACTTTAAAGTGAATCTGTGGCCAGGCTATGGACATTCATATTAAAATGCAAGCCCTGACTGACCTCTATAGCTGCAGGCACTGTGGAGCAATTCATCATCACTGCACTTCACTGCTCAGTTCTTCCTGCTCCTTCCTCTTAGCAGTGACCTTGAAGCTAAGTTCATCCTGCTCCTCCTTCACAGCAGTGACCCAGAAGCTCAGTTCTTCCTGCTCCTCCCTCTCAGCAGTGACCCAAAAGCTCAGTTCTTCCTGCACTTCCCTCCCAGAAGTGACACAGAAGCTCAGTTCATTCAGCTCCTCCCTCCCAGGAGTTAAAGGAGAACTATGGGGTTATGGCTTTTCCCCATAGTTCTCCTTAGGGTAACGGGAGGACACAAACTAGTGTCCTCCCGTCACCCTAAGCTCAGTATACGGCGAGCTACAGCTCGCCGTATACTGAGACGCCGCAGTTGAAGTGGATCTCGACAATTATGTCTGGATCCGCCCAGCAGTGTGAGTAACAGCTGGCTCTGCCTATCTAGAGGCAGAGCCAGCTGTACCCGCCCCCTCCCCCGTCCGTTCCGCCAGTCAGCGCTGGAGGATCGGAGCGGGGGGAATCCAGTCCCTCCCCTGTCACGGCAGAGAGCCGTGACAGGATCGAGAAGTGAGCGAACACCGGTATGTGTTCGCTCACTTCCCGATCTACTGAGCCGACCTGTGACAGTCTCATTGTCACAGGTCGGCTATAACTATGAGGTGAGTGAAAAGCACTCACCTCATAGTTCTCCTTAAATCAGGGCTAAAAAAAAAGCAGAGCTGTGGGAACTGTAAAGCTGCTTGGAAACATTGGTTGCCACACATCTGGGGCACCACATGAGACCCCTGCTGATTAGCAGTGAAGGGGGTTGTAGAAGTTTTCCAATTGCTCTGTGAAAGTTAAGCCCCCCTTTAAAGTCTTCTACATACACACCGACTCATACTTCCTTGCCTTTTGTCTATAATTCCACAAGCTGAATTTTTTTCTTTTCCCGCACAGACCCCTATGCCTTCGATCTCCCTGAAGATGTTGGACAGCAATTTGCTGGGTCTCTTTCTGGGTTATTGAACACCTATGAAAAGAAAGGTGAGATATCTGTTGGGTATCACTAAACACCAATGCACAAACATGGTTGCTACCAACACAACATCTTTCTCAATCAGGAGGTCAAAACTGGTTATATACTGTATAGTAAAAAAATGTCATACACATCTCACGTTTATTGCATCTTCAGAGCACTTTTGAATGAATTCATTGAATGAACATTTTGCAGTTTATTGAGCTCTTTGTTATCACGTTTGCGCTTTATTTGCACTGAAATTTGTATTTTTTATTATCACTATTTAAGCACATAGTTACATAGTATTTGAGGTTGAATAAAGACACTGGTCCATCAAGTTCAACCTTTGTGTGTTTGTGCATGTGTGTACACGGAGTACATGTGTGGCCTTGTTTTTAGGAGTACCTGTACCCCTGTATGTTACAGTCTCTGAGGAAGGTATGTAAATGCTTTTTGAATGATTCAATACCCCTTGCTGATACCACTTCTTGTGGCAGCAAGTTTCAGACTTTAACTGCTCTAGCTGAGAAGAACCCCCTACGCCTTTTGTGGTTAAATCTTTTCTCCACCAGTTTTAGGTGGTGGACTCTAGTCTTTGTTATGGAGCGTACCGTAAACATTTTATTGTTTATTTTGCCATCACCACCCAACATTTTACACATCAAAATCATGTCCCCTCTTAATCTCCTCACTTCTAGCGCGAACATGTTTAAATTTAGTAACCTTGTCTCATAGCTTAGGTCCTCCAGACCCTTAATTAGTTTAGTTGCCCTTCTCTGGACTCTCTCCAGCTCATAATTGTTTTTGGATTGCACTGAGCACTGTTTTATAAGATACCGTACTGGCTTATATTCGAGTCAATACTTTTTCCCAGTTTTTCGTGGTAAAATTAGGTACCTTGGCTTATATTCGGGACGGCTTATAGTCGAGTATATACGGTATATAGATTTTATATAATTTCATGATATTTCTACAGCTGCTATTGTGATTTTTTTTTATCTCACAGCTGGATTGTGGTTTTATTTTTTCTTATAAAGTGGTTTGTCCCCCTCTGTGAGTCCAGCAGTATCCCATCTTAAAAAATTGCCCACCATTTCAGTGGAGAACGCAGCTGTCAAGTAGCTGGAGGCCCTTTCTAGAGCTTTGTTCCCTTTGGCAGGTCCTGCATTGCAACCTGTCTTGGCCGTGACCTTATTCTGTGGTCCGAGTCCAAAACCATGTCTGGCACTCTGTGTGCCCTCAAATCTCCCCAGTCCCCCAAATCCTCAGACAAGTATTCTTTTGTTGAGAATGTGACCCCACAAAGTGGGGGGATGTCTGCTAGCCTATGTAGACACTTGGACTATCTCAGATACTTGGGTGCAGGAGGTGGTTTCCTGGGACTACATAATAGAGTTTTGCTCCCAGTCCCTTTGCCAGTTCATCACTTCCAACTGGCTTGTGTCACTGCACAGATTAGCAAATGTCCTCACAGCCCTAGCGGGTCTTTTGGAACAAAATTAAATGTCCTAGGTCCCTGTGGCATAATGGTTTCAGGGGTTCTACTCTAACCTCTTCACAGTCTTTAAACCAAATGTTAAATCATAGGAACATAAATGTCCTGAGGCAGGGCCAGAAGTTCCACATGGAATCCACCAAGTCTGTCATAGCCTCACTTTATCAGGGAAACTTTCATGCCTCTGTGAACAACAAGGCGGCATACCTGCATGTACCCTTTTTTCCAGCAGCTCAGCGATTCCTACACTTTTTGGGAGTCCTCTGCACTTTCAGTTTGTGGCCCTGACATTCGGCCCATCCCCTGCACCTCCAATCCTCACACAGAGCAATTCCTCTGGCATCAAGGCCAGTGGTTTAGGCATTTTGCTTTGGAGTCTGAAAAGTACTTTCATCAGGTCTGATGGAAAATCCTCATAAGGGATGCTAGCCTGTCAGGCTGGGGAGGAATCCTGGGCACCTTGTCGGTGCAGGGGACTTGGACATCTGAGGAATCTCATCTCCCAATTAACATTCTGGAACTTCAGGATATTTGGTTTTCCCTGCAATGCTGGGCTTCCCAATTGGAGGGTCATCCGATTTGGATTTAGTCGGACAACACCACAGCAATGGCATACAATAACTCATAGTGAGGAACCAGAAGTCTTGGTGCAGCAAGAGAGGTAGAACTGATCCTTTCCTGGATAGGACTGCACATCCTAGCCTTGTCCGCTGTTTACATCCCAAGCCTGGACAATTGGCAGGCAGACTTCCTCGGCTGGCACCACCTAGACCATAACTCGCCATCACATCTGTGGGGTGAGTGTCTGAGCTGGTGGTCCTATCTTGTAAAGAAACCTTTCTGGTCTGACACAAGGACAAAGTAATGTTGAGGCCGAGAACATCTGTCCTACTTTAGGTAGTTTCGCCCTTTCACCTCAGCCTAAACATTGTTCTTTCATCCCTCTTTCTAGCTCCAGTTCATCAGAGGGGGATCTTTCTCCACTACATGGATGTAGTTCTAGCTGTAGGAGTTTACCTCACATCCACTGCTTCCTTTAGAAGGACTGACTCTCTCTTTGTCATTCCTTAGGGCCCCTATAAAGGGGAACCAGTTTCTTATTCCACCATTTCTTGGTGGCCCAGGCAGATAATCATCCAAGCCTATGGTCCTAAGGATTAGGTACCACCCTTTCCTGTTAAGGCACACTCCACTAGGTCTGTAAATGCCTTTTGGACTCTTCGGCATTGGGTTACTGTTTCTCAGATTTGCAAGGCTTCTGTTTTCACATGTACTCTAGATGTTCCGGTCCTGTTTGATGCTAGATTTAGGCCCCATTCACACTGAGCGACTTGCAATATTGAGCGATATTGCGCGACTTACGATATTGAGCGATATTGAGCGACTTTTTCCTATTGGGCTGTGTGCAATAAGGAGCAAAATCGCTCGAAAACGCTTGAAAATAGGGTCATGTAGGAGCGACAAGCTACAGTGACGAGCTACAAGCGATATTGAGCGATATTGAGTGGCGAGATGTGAACAGCTCCATTGAAAAGGATTCGAGAAACTACATAGAGCAATATCGTGTGGAAATATGAGCGATATCGCTGCAAAAATCGCTCGATAAATCGCTCAGTGTGAATGGGGCCTAAGGCATAATGCCCTTCATGTGGCTCTTTGAGCTGCAGGAATTCCCTAGCTCTCTTTTTTTTGTGGGCCGGTATGCATTTTGTTTGCTGTTGCCTACCCCATAGTTGGACTGCTTTAGGACGGCCCAACAGTATCCCTAATTTCTGTCCCACCAGCATGCCAGAAAATGAGGTATGGTGTGAGCAGTAGGGATTATCCTGGGCTGGCATACAATTGTTTTGTTTGCCAGTGTCCAATCTTCCTGTAGGCAGCAGTATGTAAGCCAATAGTTTCTAAAATCCTGTGCCCCTTTATGGACTCCAAGCATATAGTTTTACGGTGAGTACGAAAAAGAGTTCATTTGTCTTTGAACTGGCTAAAACACTTGGGAAGAACTGGGAATTCTGATGGAGAGGTCTCAGTACTGGTGCCCCAGAAATATAACAAACCAACATGTCATTCAGCTTTGAATAATTTTATAAGCATTTGTACATGTCTCATACATGATAATAGAGGTTTTAATCTCTCATACAGCTGCTGTTGGGCGCACAGTAAAGATAAAGAAGGACGGAATTCTGAATGTCTATCTTCTCCTGGATGCCTCAGAGAGTGTTGGTGAAAACAACTTTGACATTTCCAAGAAGAGCATAGAGGATCTTGTCAATAGGGTTTGTGTCATCACCACATGTCTGCATAATTCTGGGCAAATACATGTTCCTTGGACGAAAGCACAACACATCAAACATGCAACTCCATGGGCTTTATAAGTAAAATATTTGGGGTAGGATGATAATGCAGGAACTGTCTGGTCTGTACGCACGTTTATTTAAAATGCTCACCTCTGGTCTGCTGGTTTCTGCCCCTTCCCATCCTGCATATATCCCTGTTGGCTGTCTGATGGGCTGTCCTACTGAGCAATATGTATACAAGAATACCCATAGGGGTCGGGAAAAGTGCAAACATGAAAATTGTGATTGCTGTTTCTGTAATATTTAAGGTACAAGGAGGTGCATGAAATATCACCTGGCAACCTTGCACTTAAAGTGGACCTGTCTATAAGTTAAGTTATGCTTTAATACACTGTGAGCTTTAGCTAGCAGTAGTTAGTCCCAATCAGTGGCGACTCTAGGAACAATATATAGGGGGGGCACATAAGATACCACAGTCAGATCAGGGGGGGCACTAATAATTTTCATTGCATGTCGCAACCGCTGAGCGCCGAGAGCTGATTTAATTGCGGATGGCATCTGCGCCCTGCGGTTGCGACAGCAGCTTTTGAGAAAATACGCTATTAGCATAGCGGGGAAGCCGGCTGCGCATTTTGCATCGTTCCCGCTACGCTAATAGTGTATCTTCTCAGAAGCTGCACACAGCACGCCGGTTTAAGTAGTAACCAGCACACGATGTATGCAGCTTCTGACAGCAAGGCTGCACTTGTCGGTGGATCCAGGAATGAGGTGAGTATTAAAAAAAAAAAATGTTTTATTTTATGTTGTTTATGTTTTGTTTTTTAAATACGTGTGTTTGCAGGGTCTGGGGCCTTTAATTTTATGGGGGATTTTTAATTTTAGTTTATTTAACTTTTT